TTCAAATCCACTATAGGGAGCAACTCCGTCTTACCACTTCCCATGAACTAAGGGTTCAAATGTCCTCAAAATTTCTTAACCTCGCTACCTTAGCTAAGATTAGATTCTTCTAATTCAACAAAAGGTAATCTCAAACCGTGCAACCCATCATCAAGTTAAGAAGAAACAAGCATTCTAAGGCGCATCATCAAGGAAATAGAGTTCAAATGTACAAGAAAATTTCAAAACACATTCGTATCATCTTGCCATAATCATGTTTGTCACACAAGAATGAAAACAAAACAAAAGGAGGAAGAAATAAAAAAGGTTCGCAAATGAGGCATATAAATCCAAATAAATCCTAATCCACATACAATGATCGTTCGGTATCAACACCAACGATCCAAGGTTCCTTAGAACCAAATGCAAACAACCTTGAACTATTCAACTTCTTCTGATCTTATACTAATCCTAAACTACGCACGCCTAAAGAAAGAAAATAGAAATTAAGGGAAAGATCTCACCCATATGTCTCTTGAAGAATAATAAAGCAACCTTACAATTTACATGGCTCCAAATGTTGCTTCCAATTTTCTTCAAAGCTACAAAAGAAAGAGATAAAAGCAAAAAAAACACTATACAAAGAAAAATGTTAGAAAGAAAAAGAAAGAAAAATCTACCAACTTAAACTTTGGGAATAACCAACTACCCAAACTTAACTCATTCTCAAATCATTATCATCAAGACATCATTGACCAACAACAAACAAAAACAATGCTACCAAAACGCTTATCAACAACACCCAACAACAAGACAGAAACACAAATCCCTTTATCGTTCTCATGAGTCCTTGGTGCCTTCCCCCACACATACCCAAAAACACTCCCTTTTGAATCAAACACCCCCTACACTAGATAAGAGCATCGTCCCCGATGCTTCACATGCAAATGAAATGAAAGGGAGGGACCAAAAAGGGAAAGAGAAACAAACAGACCGAGGGGGAAACTATTGGCCACTAGGGCCGGCACCACCATCATCCGCATTCCAACTATCCATATGAAAAGCCTGAGGGGGGCCATGTGGTTCCTAACTTCCGGTGTAACAGGGAGGCCACCCATAATGACCCTTGAAAAGGTCTAGTTGGGATGCGGATAATTGGTCAAATGGCTCGGGTTGAGCTAGAGGTAAAGGGTGAGAGGGATTAATGTAGGGGTAGTTAGGATCACCCCGATAATCACTCCCACCCGAAACCTGGTAGTCATAATGACTGGACTCATCGGGAAAGTCAAGCCTTAGCACATTGGGGTCCGGGGGACCCTGCCAATAAGGGTACGTAGGTTGGTTGTCACCCCCCCCCCCCAAGATGGCACGAGCCCTTGTTGGGCTGACACAGATGGATAGTTAACCGCGGGAGTGACATCCCCTCTACACACACTAATATCATAAAGGGCATTGGTTTGAAAAAAATGGTGTTGTTGGGAGGCAATCATACCTTGCATGCCAAGTTGCATGCTCTCCATTTGAGCCCGCATCGCCGCCATCTCTTGATGGTAGTCAAATTGTTGTTGATTTTGTTGTTGTTGTTGTCGTGTTCGTCTTCCTTGTTGATCTTGTTGTTGTTGAATCGGAGGGATCACCTCCACCTCATTGGCATCATCATCGTCATGACCTTCCCCAATCGCTATTCTTGCAACCGGGAGGACACCCGAATCCTTTCTCACCTACCACAGGTGATTAACTCCCTCCCTAGTAAAAGAAGTGAACTCCGGTTTGGGGAGGAGGCAATGATGCTTATGGGAGACAAGCAAGCTCTATGTCCCTAATAAACTTCATTGTCTTCAATTAGTCAATGTCTAACAAAATGTCACTTCCATCACTTCTCCCAATGGGGGTGCAAGAACGCAACATATCCATATGACCTAACTTTTTAGCAAACCTTGTGACCATCCCGACAAAATGAATTTCCCCTTTCTTTGTCCCCGGGAGAATCCTTTCAATGCACTTGGTGAAAAGAAAATCAAAATTCACTCTACGCCCCAATTCCGGCTTCGTAGCTAGCCATAAAATTCGGATCTCTTCAGCGGTAATCTTTTCCAAGTCTTGCTTGTTGAAAACCATGTACCCAAGTATTCTATGAAGAAGTTTGATAGCAGGGTGCATGATTTGACTGGCCAATGAATATTTGGCATTGAAGGCATCCATTCTCAAGATGCATTTCCACCACTCAAGGGGGTTATAATCATAAAGAGATTCGTGCTCAGGGAAGAACATGTCGGCGTCAAGGTTGAGGACTAGAAGTTGGTTGAATTGGCGAAGGTTAACTGTTTCTTTTTTATTGAAGAGTTGGAAAGGGATAGTGAGGTCCCTTTCTCTTGCAGCATGGAATTCGAAAGAGGCTAGAAACTCAAGAGTAGGCTCTTTGTATGTTCGGTAAGCACTTGCCACAAAAGAGCCCAACCTTAGATTGTTGAATAGGAACCAACAATCGTCATTGATGCCAAGCTTAATTGTAGAAGGTTGGTGGTAATTTTTTTGTGGGTCTAAACTTGCGATTATGCAAGTTGTCATAGATGGTTTGTGGTTTTTGTTGTGGAATTTGAGAGGTGGCAAAGGTGGTGGTGGTGGTTGCTCATTGGGTTGGGGGTTTTGGGAGGTAGAACCTTGGGGTTCCTTCCCACTCTTTCTTTTTTTTGAACCAAACACCATTTTGACATCACCCAAGTTCAATCAAACACAACTTAAATCAAAAGAACAATCCACCCAATTCAACAAGCCTTCACAATTTCCACACTTTGAAATTCACTTAACAACACCAAAGAATTAATAATACCCGCCAACAATCAACAAGATCAACAAATAATCAACTAACAACCAAGCTTGCGAATATAATTCAACATGAATTGGCATTCAAACATCAAAAATCCCCAAACAAAATTACAAGAACAACAATGTTTCTCACCAAGGAAATTGCTTCAAATTTCAATTAAAACTAGAGAACGAGTGAAATATACCAACAATGAGTGATCATACTCCACTCCTACTAGCCCTTTGAAGAAGAAATCCTAGCTACCTTTAAGAAATCTAGCAATGGAGACCTGAGAGAACCGCGAGAAGAACAACCCAAAGCAAGTCTTGAATGGTAAAATTTTAGAAATTTAATGAGGAAATCGAAGGAGAGTGAAGAAATTCGGTGGATTTTTGATGATTTTATGATGAATTTTGATGAGTTTGTGAGGTTAGGAGGTTAGGGTTTCAGGGGGGGAAAAAGTTTTAGGGAGAGTGAAGAGGAGAAATGTCGAAATAGGGGAAACAACGTGGGCGAAACTTCTGAAAGAAACCTGAGAATTTCACAGACCCTCATAGCCGTGCCCGCGGGTAGAAGTGCCACACCCACAGGTCTTCTTGTCCACGCCCACGGCATATATATTCGCACCCTCTCTTGGGGCGCGGCGAGGCATCTCCAGAAAGTTGAGGGGAGCCTTCCTTTCTCTATCCGCGCCCTCTCCTCATGAAGTCGCGCCCACGATTCCTTCTGCCCGCGCCCGCGGGTCTCTAAGTGGCGCCCGCGGGTCCCTGGAGAGGGCTCTCCCTAGGTGCGCAACACTTTAAGCTCTTGAGACCTAAAATTCGACCCTTTCTTCTTTCATAACTCCATCTTGGCTCTTCAAAAGGACTCCCTTGAGGTGAAAACACCCTCAAACCTTAATCTACAAAAGCAATGCCCAAAGGTTCAAGTACCTACAAAATAAAAACCAAAGACCATAAGATAAAAACCCTAAAAGAGATCAACCAAAATCGAAGAAAAAGAGGAAATAAAGAAACAAAAGAGTTGAGAACTCAGGTTTCCCCCCAAGAAGCGCTTCTTTATGAGATCAGTAGCTTGACAATGAGAAATTATCATCCAGAGGGTGGCTTAAGATCCATCGGATCAAGCCTCATGCATTCAATCAAACCAACTTTATTCTTGCAAAAGTAGTGCTTTAAATAATGACCATTAACCATGATTTTGTTATCACCCGCCTCTAACTCAAAAGACCCATAAGGAGTAGTCCTTGAAATCACAAAAGGCCCCGACCATTTGGATTTGAGCTTTCCGGGAAATAAACGAAGCCTAGAGTTGAATAACAACACCTTGTCTCCAACCTTGAAGCTCTTGTTCCTTATGTCTTGGTCGTGCCATTTCATGGTTTCCTCCTTGTATAGCCTTGAGTTCTCATAGGCATCATATCTAAGCTACTCAATTTCATTGAGCTTGAGCAATCTCTTCTCACCGGCCAACAAAATATCCTTGTTAAGCTCCTTAATGGCCCACCAAGCGTTATACTCCAACTCAATCGGAAAATGACAAGCCTTCCCATAGACCAACCGATAGGGGGTTGTACCAATTAGGGTCTTGTACGCCGTCCGCAAGGCCCAAAGTGTGTCGTCAAGCTTGAGGGACAAATCCTTCCTAGACTTATTCACTATCCTTTCAAGTAGATTCTTAATCTCTCTATTTGACACCTCCACTTGCCCTTGAGTTTGAGGATGATAAGGTAGACCAACTATGTGATGAATTTCATACCTCTTGACAAGAGCCTCAAATTGCTTCTTGGTGAAATGGGAACCTCCATCACTAATTAGCACCCTAGGAACCCTAAACCGCGGAAATATGATTTTCTTGAGAAGTTTAAGCACAACCTTATGATCATTGGTAAGGGAGGGTATAGCTTCAATCCTCTTAGTAACATAATCGACCGCTAACAAGATGTATACATTCCCACATGAAGAGACAAAAGGCCCCATAAAGTCGACACCCTAAACATCAAAAGGCTCAACTTCCAAAATGTTTTCTTGAGGCATTTAATCCCTTTTGATTATGCCACCACTTCTTTGGCACTTGTCGCATCTTGAAACAAACTTTTGAGCATCCTTTTGCATCGTTGGCCACCATAGGAGAGATTGAGAAATCTTTGCCACCGTTTTATCAACTCCCCCATGTCCTCCACATGGAAACGAGTGGCAATGCTCAAGATAGTTGGCTATATCCTCCTTGTTCTTAAACGAAAGCCTAGACTTATCAACTCCCCCTTGGTCATGAGATAGCGAACCGCTATGTGATCCGTGTACACAATCACTTTGGAGCAAATAAGATAGGACCTAAACTTGTCGATGGCAAAAACAACCGCAAGCATTTCCTTCATCGTCGTTGTGTAATTCTTTTGTGCTTCATCAAGAGTTCTACTTGCATAGTAAATGACATGAGATTTTCCTTCTTTCTTTTGCCCAAGTACCGCACCTACTGCAAAATCATTCGCATCACACATTAGCTCAAAAGGCAAGCTCCAATCCGGAGCTTGCACAGCGGGAGAGGAAATGAGAGCTCCCTTGAGTTTTTGAAATGCCTCAAGACAAGCCTCATCAAAGCTAAACACAACATTTTTCTTGAGTAATTCAGTCAAAGGTTTGGCGATTGATGAAATTTTTTTGATAAACCTCCGGTAAAAACAAGCATGCCCTAGAAAATCTCTCACTCCCGTAACGAAAGTAGGAGGGGTGAAAAGAATGGTGTCCTTCCAACAAGTGTATTCTTCCGATAAAGGGTTCAGAATTATTACAGAGTTAATTCTTCAGTAAGATCAAGTGATCGGAATGCCTAGGTGGAGGCCGCTTCTACTCAGTAATACCAAGGTACAATTGATATTACAGCTTAAACTTAACTGAACCCTTAGGGTCGAACCCAATCGATTCACCGATCCGAGACGACGAATTAATCCGAAAGGATTTAATGAGTCGACATAGTTTTACGAATACAGATGTCGGATATCGAGCCTAGGGCGTCGAGACCGAGCGTCGCAAAATCACAAAGCAACAAGTATGAACATATCCCTAGCACCACATTGGCTTAGCCATGTGGATGCTAGGCTAGTTCGAGCTAGCATGCACCTAGCATGACTAGGCGCAAGCCTAAGCACACTAGGTGTGCTAGGCGCACCATCGCAGCCTAGGCACACCATCGCTGACCATCACAAACATGGCGTGATGCCTAGGCACCATCGCTGCCTACCGCAAGCAATAGGCGCACCAAGGGCACCTGGCAGCCTATCGCAAGCACCACAAGCACCAGGCAGCCCATCGAACGTAGCAGTGTGCTTGTCTGGATGCCTAGGTGCGCATGGCAGGGCCACACACGCACCAGCAAAGCCATCGCAGTGCTGAGCACTGGCGCATGTGCATGTGCGTGTGTGCGTGCCTCGCACCAAGCATAACAGTGCTAGGCACTGGCTGACGTGTGCTAGTGCGAGGGCACCTGGCAGCATCGCCCAGCACACATGCTAGGCCCTTGCGTGCGTAGGTGCACTGGCTGGGCTAGCAATGCGTGTGACGCATGTGCGTGGGGTGCATGGCTGATGTGTGTGCGAGAGGTGCGGCGAGGGATGCGAGGGTGATGCGTGTGGCTGTCAAAGCAAGGGGCCAGCATGTGTGGCTCGCTAGTAGCACGCATGCTGGCTATGCGAGCATATGCGAGAGGTGCAGCAAGGATGCAGGTGGTGCGTGGGATGTTGGGGCCTGCGCCAGCACGCACTAGCGACTAGCACTAGCACGCACCAGCACCAAGCATGCACTGCCTGGCTAGGATGCGAAGGCAGCTGGGTGGGCTTGTGCTAGCTGGGTGGGCTTACTTGCACTGCTAGCTGGCAGCAGCCCAGCTGCCCTTTGGTTGAGGCGGTTTTGTGAGGGGTGGGGACTAAGGATTGGGAAAAGCCTTGGGGAGCAAGGAAATGGTCCCCCCCACCTCTCCATGGCCCTCACCTAACCTTCTCTCTCCCCTTGACACTTGTTGCATTGTGATTGAATTTAATTATTAATTTATTTTAGAAATAAATTATTCATTCTCCCACATTGGTTGGGGAATGAAGTTCAAGGGTGCATTTCCCTATAAATACCAAAGGCATGGTATTGGGAAATACACAACCTTGATTGGAATTAAAAAGACAACTCTTGTAATTAGAGTAAACCTTTGATTCGTAAAACTCATAGTTTTGTTTTGTCCGGGTCTTGACTAACCTTCAAAACTTAGGACGCTCGTGTCGGGTTGAGGGTACGATCCGTCGGAGATCTCGTAGTTTTGGGATTTTGAAGTAAGAGCTCTTTGGGAGCGAAGCACGCAACAAAGGTATAATTCTTATTCTTAATCTAGTTTGATTAAGTTTAATATGCTTGTTAATTACTTTAATTAAGGGGCGGATCTTGGGGGGTTTCCTTCCGCGTAGTGTCGGGTCACTACGAAACCCTACAAGGGGGCAACTTTGCAATCACCGAAATTTGGCCGAATCAACCTCAATGCCCTTCTTTGACACTTTATGGCCTATGACAATACACTCCTCAACCATAAAGTGACAGTTCTCCCAATTTAAAACCAAACTCGTCTTTTGACACCTTTTCAAAAAATTTCATGGTTATAAAGATAAGTGTCAAAACACGAGTCACCAATACTGAAATCGTCCATAAAAAATTCATTCTCATTTTCAAGCATCTAAAAGAAAATGGAAGTCATGCATCGTTGAAATGTTGAAGGAGCATTGCATAACCCGAATGACATTCTTCGGTAAGCGAATGTTCCATATAGACATGTGAAAGTAGTTTTCTCTTCGTCATTTGGGTGGATAGGGATTTTGAAAAATTCGAAATACCCATCTAAGAAACAAAAGAAAGCATGGTGAGAAAGTCTCTCCAACATTTGGTCCATGAAGGGGAGAGGAAAATGGTCTTTCTTTATATTTTTGTTCAACCTCCTATAATCAATACACATTCTCCACCCCGTCACCGTCCGGGTGTAGATTTTATTTCCTCCTTCTCCCTTGATGATGGTCATTCCACCTTTCTTTGGAACCACGTGAACCGGGCTAACCCACTTGCTATCGGATATAGCTTAAATTATGCCTGCTTCTTGCAATTTCAAGATTTCCTTCTTGACAACCTCTTGGAGGTTGGGGTTTAACCTCCTTTGATGTTCAATCGAGGTGGATTGATACACAAAGAGGGGCTAATACCCTTCATATCATCAATGCTATACCCTATCACATTTCTATATTTTCTCAACACAACAAGCAATTTTACCAAATCAAGACCATCAAGGGTAGCATTGACAATAAAAGGGTATTCCCCTTCATCTACAAGACAAGCATATTTCAAAGAAGGGGGAAGGGGTTTAAGTTCTATCTTGGGAGGAGACTTGGAACTCTTCTCCATTTTCTCCTCCTTTAGTTCAAGCTCTTCTTTATATTCTTGTTGATCATGATCTTCTTCCATTTGAGTTTCTTCTATGGCCATGACAAACTTTTTTTGCTTCTTGAGAGTGATACTCTTCCTTGCATGTAAGAGCTTCAACCATTGGATCTTGAAGCTTCATCATAACCCTTTCCAAGCGATCTAACTCCTCATTCACAACATCAACCCTGATTAGGGGATTTAACCCCGCTAAGTGGTCCAATGAAATCCTGCCACGTGTCATTCACGTGGACCAACCAGAGTTCGCCACGTTTCACCTTATGATAGGTCCAAGGTGGACCAATCAGGCCACGACACGTGGCAGACGGATTGCAAACTATGAAAGTGGTCTTCAACAGCCCAAATACCTAGGCAAGCCCAGTCAAACCTAGGTATTTGAAACCTAGTACTGAGCACGCATTGTGAGACCCTATAAAAGGGAGATGTTCCCCCTAAGGAACATCATTCAGAAATTCCTAAACTCATGTGTACATAATTGCTGAGCATTAACTCCAGCTTTAATTGCACTACTTGAGAGCTAAGGCTCGGATTTCGATGTTAGATTCGATAACCAGATGATCACTTCTCTCCTAAGAGGAGCCAGATCCCATCTACATTCCGCACTTTTTTACATCCGAACACGTTCTAACTTGATCTATGATGTCCTCATAAGAACCTGTACTACCTCTCAATGAGAAACGGCCTATGGCCGACGTCTTGGTCTATACAGGCCAGGATACAGATGACGACTATGAGGTCGACACACACACAGCTCCTGACGAGTCCCTAAGGACTAGGTGAATCTGTCCCATTGAAAAGAGGGAACGAAAAGACGAACAGACGCGCCCTAGTGAACCAGTCGGTTAGTTAGCTGGTCAACCTCAGGTGGCCGAAGGTTCTATCCCTATCAACAGAAATGAGCTCATGACTCTCATGAGAAGTTTCAAAGGGGAGATTAAGGACCTGATTGACAAACGGACGACTGTTTCCACTAGGTACCGGTCGACCAAGAAGCCCTCTCATTCTAGGAGGAATAAGTCGGTCAAAGACCAAGAGGCCACTCCTTACCCTAAACCTAGGGAGGGGGCAGAGGCCCTTGTTAAATTTTTCTAAACTCTGGTTCCCTAAGCAAGGGAAGAGGAAGGCCATTCCGGCATGTACAGCGAGATGGTTTAAAGTAAACTTATTCCGATACCCGGATGTTATTCCAGTGGAAGAAGAACATGCAACTGTCAGAGTCGGCTTTGACGCTGAACTTGCAAGACATCTTTCAGAATACCTCAAGGAGGTATTCACAATCAAACTGAGAGAACCAGACATGCGGCATGTCCACTCACTCTAGTCCTCAGATTCTCCATGCAGCCCCGTTTGCGCCTCAACAGCCATACATGCCGTAAGGACAACATTACATGCAGTCGACCCTCTTTGGGGGGTAGGCGGCTCATAATGTTCAACCCTTGGACTGGCAGCTCTGACTGCTAAGACTGGGGGAACATCCCTCTACGTTCTCCAAGGAAATAACTGAGGCCGCACATCCGGCCAAGGTGAAAAATGTTTTGCTAGGTACCTATGATTGTACAACCGATCTAGAAGATCATCTTATGGCACACACAAACCTCATGTATCTACTAGGGTTCAATGATGTCGTAGGGTGTCGATGCTTCCCGACCACATTGAAAGGTATCGCCCATACATAAGGCGGTTCAATCTGATGAGACTTCAGATTCAAGAATTGTCTGATGAAGTGGCATATACAGACTTCTTTAAAGGTCTGAAGGACGGGTCGACGTTTAAGTTCGACCGTTTTAGAAAGAGGGTTGCCACCCTCCAAGAAGCACTGATGGAGGCGGACGCCTATTTTAAGGCGACCGAGCTCTGCCACGTCAGTAAACAATCGGACTCAAAGAAGTTTGAAAAAAGAGAGAGTCGGTCATCACATCCGGCTAAGAAGAAGAAAAGAAAAGAAAAGATGTCTTAGTGGCTGATACCTCTGAACAGTCGTCCAAGAAGAAAAAGAAAGAATCTGAACCGTATACCTCCAAGTATGAGTTTAACAAGGATTGTCACTCCATCCTCATGGAGATCAAAGACCAGGTGACCATTGAGAAGACGACTGCTATGAAAGGTTCCTCCAAAAATAGGAACAAAAATAAGTATTGTCATTTTCAACCATGGTGTACCGCAGCTATGCATTCCATAGAACATTACTGATGAAGTAGGCCGGGAGCTGGGTGCCGCCACTTTCAGCAAGGAGAACAGGACTAAGCGCATGGTTAGAGACAGTTAGGTACATGTGCAACACTTCTTTTGGCAAAGGACTAACCAGCCTTGGTAAAGAGTGCAAGTGTTCCTTCAACTTTTGCAAGGCCGCCTCTTGATTGCTTGGAAGAATTACAGGCACTTGTCACCCGACTGACTGAGGAAGCTCCCCAATGCCGCCAGACAATATTAAAGGGCGTCGCCCAACAATGGTTCGACAACCTGCCAGCCGGATGCATAAATAACTTTAAGACACTTGCATACTTGTTTGCGTCCAACTTCTCAATGAACATCCCTGCGAAGAAAATAAGTCTTGACTTGGGGGCTATACAACAGGGAGAGAAAGAAAGGCTACGGTCATACGTCAGGTGGTTCAGTCTAATGAGAATTCAGATTCAGGGACTGTCTGATAAGGTGGCTTATACTGACGACGCCTATGGGCCTAAAGTATTTGGCCTTAGGATCATCACGCCGTGGGCCTCAAGTTGATCATTCGGCCTTAGGCCTCAAGTTGATCATCCGGCCACAGGCTTCAAGTTGATCATCCGGCCTTAGGTCTCATTAGTTTTTTCAGAAAAGAACATAGTTGCTAAGTTTAGACTTAGCATTTTTACTCATGTGAGAGTGATTAAAAGAAATAAGGTCGACTGTGTATTGCATAGGCGGCTTGCCCCACTAAGGAGACATGCAAAAAACTAAAAAATAAATTGCAAATTTTATTAATATGCTTTAATGTACAAATAATTTAAAAATCTCAGAAGTAGTACTTTTAATAGTTATCTACGTTCCAAGTTCTGGCTAGTTTCCTACCGTTTGGTGTTTCCAGGCGGTAGGTTCCGCCTCTAACTTCTTCATATATTCGGTAGGGGCCATCCAAATTAGGAGTCAGCTTTCCCTGCTCGTTGGACCTACCGATTGCTTCCATTTTCCATAACACAAAGTGCCCTACCATAAGGGGTGTTTGTGCACTATTTTATTGTAAACTCTCGTCATTCTCAGTCGGTAGATCTCATGACGCAAGGCCGCATTGCCCTTGCGCTTTGGAAGTGAGTCCAATGATAGCCGCATGACCTTCTAGTTAGCCTCTTCGTCATAAAGCATGACTCGAAGACTCGACTCATAGTGCTAAATAGGCAGAACAACCTTTGCCCCACAAACCATGAGAAATGGAGTTTCACCAGTCACCCCTTTTTCAGTTGTCTTGATGACCCACAAAATATGCGGTATCTCGTCAACCCATAAGCCGCCAGCTCTTTCAATTTTTTTTTGATGCCATTAGAGATTAAGTTATTAAAGGCTTCAACCTAGCCGTTTGCTTGGCGACGGCCAATTGATGCAAAACAGTGAGAGATCCCTTGATCTCTCAACCAGTTCTTGAGAGCAAGTGTCTCAAATTGAGGACCATTGTCAAAAACCATAGACATGCATACCGGGTGATGACATTTTTCCAAATGAAGGAGATAACATCTTTTGTTTTAATGTCTTTGACTGCCTACGCCTCTACCCATTTGGTAAAGTAGTCGACAGCAACAAAAATATACCTCCGTCTGCCTGTAACAAGCGTATACAGACCCAAAATATCCATGCCTCATTTGGCGAATGGTACTGGGCTATGGATAGCCATCAGGTAAGTGGCCGGACGATGGATGAGCTTGCCAAACCTTTGACACTTGTCACATTTTTTCACCATCTCCATGGCGTCTACTTATAGGGTAGGCCAGAAGTAGCCTTGCTGCCTGGCTTTCTTTGCTAGGGTCCTGCTGCCTATGTGGGAGGCGCAGAAGCCCGAGTGCAAGTCTTCTCACACCTCTGCCCTTCTCTGGTGTGACACATTTATTGGAGATAGCCTTTCTTAAAAAGATCTCTACTGTGGATTTCAAAATTAACCTTAGGTTTTTTCATTGCGACCATATCTAGGTAAGTATCGGCAAGGTGCCGCCTGTTAAGTATGCCCGGATGCCATCCATCCTGGTTGAGCTTCGATCTAAGGTTCTAATGGGTTCCTCTTTTATGCTCCTTTTTTCCATCACCTCTCAGAAAACAAATCTTGGTGTGTCACAAGAGGCGGATGATGCCAATTTGGAGAGAGCATCCGCATGGTTATTCTCAGACCTAGGTACCTGACCTAAATGAAATTTATAAGGTTTCGTAAAGACCCACTCTACGCGAAAAGAAACCCCCCAAGACCCGCCCCGATAACTAAAGCAATTAAAGCAAGCATAAACATAATTAAGCAATAATTAAGAGAAAGGGAGAAAGAAGTTATACCCTCGTAGCGTGCTTCGCTCGCAAATCGAGCTCTTACTTCAAAAGCTCGAGCGTCACAATAGTGACCGCCTTTAACGGCTCGTACCCACGAACCCGACCTGAACAATCCAAGTTCCGAAGGTTAGTCGAGACCCGACCAATAAAAACTAGAGTTTTACAAACTTAGAGGTTTTCTCACCTAATGGGAGATGCCTCATTGAGTTCTACTCAAGTGTTCTTTCCAAATGCCAATACCTTGGTATTTATAGGGAAATGAACCCTTGAACGCCCACTCTTGATCAATGTGGGAGATTGGCAATTTCCCCATTTTATTTTAATTAAAAACAAAATAAAATTGATGTGCAATAAATAAGTTACAAGTGGCAAATGGAGGAAGAGTGATTAGGTGAGGACCATTCCAAGAGGGGGGACCATAGCCTTGGTGCCCAAGGCAATGGCCACAACCCTAGGTCCCCACACAAAACCGGATCCTCCATGTGGCTGGGACAGCTGGCTGCCAGCCAGCCTTTGCTGTGCTTACAAGCTAACATAACGCA